GGTGTCGCCATTTCTAGAACATTTCATCTTTCCAAACTGAAGCTCCATATCCATTCAGCAGTAGCTCAGTCCCCATCCTTACTTCCAGGCTCTGTCAGCCACCATTCTAATTTCTTACTGTGCCTCTCTAGTGACTTTGTATGTCTTGCCATCATTGTTCTTTTGTGTCTTACCCATTTTATTAACATATTGTCCTTAAAGTTTGTCTAGAATTTCTTCCCTTCTTCCCTCCCTTCCCTTTTAGCTTCTTAAGATAAGATCTCTCCATGTAGCCAGGGCTGGCTTCAAACTTAGTATGTAGTTCACACTGGCCTTGAACTTTTACATCTCCTGTCTCAGTTTCCAGAGTTCTGGATCATAGGCATGTGCCATCACTCTGTCTTCCTTTCTTTGAAGACTGAATACCATTGCAGTGTAAATACATGCCATATTTTGTCCATCTGTTCTTCTGTTGATGGGCCCTGGGTAACTTCCATTTTTAACTTTTATGAATGATTCTACTATAAATATGGACATGCCAATGTGTCTCCAAGGTCCGGCTTTCCTTTCTTTTGATTCTGTACTCAGTAGTCACGTCACCATGTCACATGGCAAATCTCTATGTTTTTGAGGAACTGCTCAGCACCTGGAAAGCTTCTATTATACAAAGGTAGAACAGCTTGCCAAGACAACGCTGTGCAGATCCCATCTCCTCTTCCAGAAGCCACATTCTTCCCGGGCCCTAGTGTAGGGCTGGTCTTGAGAAGGGCTGGGGCTCCCTCTCTGGAAGCACTACAGTCTACATTGTGGCCACATCAATCAACCACCCTCCTGGAGTCGAGTGGCCAGTGGAGGGACCTCAATCTTCTGTGGTCTCAGATACCATCTATCATTATGATGGCTCAGGTCACATTGTCGTCTGATTTGTTCTCCCAACAGAAGTCAGCCCCCTGACACACATACACTTTTCTTCTTTCACCTCTTCCTGTGGTCTGAATTCCCTGACTTGGCTAATTAGCATGCCTGGCACTGTAGCTTAAGACTTTAATCAGCGTGGGGTGCTTTTAATTAATCGTGTGGCTCTGCATCTGGAGTGGTTTGTGTTTCCAGGGTCAGGAGAGGAACTGAGGTGGGGGATGGGTAGGCAGCTTTGTTTGGTGTCCAGTGTAGGTAGAGAGTCCAGACACTGGGGTAGAGAGAGGAACCGTGGGGCAGGGTGACTGAGGAACCATCTGGCCATCTTTGCAACATACCAGCACGGTGTGAAAAAAAGCTGAGGACTTCAGATATATATTTTGCGACTGAGGCAAATGCCTGTACTAATTTCAGTTTGCAAAAGTGAGTCTAAACTGTCAGGAAAACTTCTGGCACATTCTAGAATTGTCCACAGGAAAGCAATGTTGCGGCAGGAGAAGATGGAGCCACAGAGGCAATGCTGGAGAGCCCTGTTAATTTTAGCATCCATACTTTAAGAGACTGGGAACATTTAGATCAACCTCAGAAGCAAGTAGTAAAGATGAGACAATGCCTAGTGGGAATGAGCTACCAGGAAAGCAAAGCTCTCTGTTGTGGGCCTTTCAAAGAGAAAGTTCTAGATTCCCAGACGATAACCTTCAGGGTGTGTTCTCTTGAAAGTCTTCAATATCATGTTTACACATATACATGAAAGTCAAACAAGAAAGAGGGACTAGCTTGGGTGAGGTTTTGTCTGGACACTTAGAAGTTGCTGGAATGTCAGATTCAAAAGGATTTCTAGAGTGAGTCCAAATGGTTGCTTATTTTATAGATGATTGAAAAGAAACTCAAAGGGAACAACTGTTCACGATCGTCCGGAGAGCTGGAAGCAAAGCAGTAGCTAAGACCTAGTTCTCAGACGGTTGGGGATTTGTGCCCTGTCCCGCGTAGATGTGTAGCTGAAACCCAAGTACAGCATGGGCTAACTTGGAAGCTAGGAAGGGGTCTGAATCAGTTCAGGAAACTCAGGGAACTTCAGAGCCTCATCTAGAGAATGAAATGGTAGATGGCTTAGGGGCTGATGCCACATTCAAAGAGGAAATGACACCATGAGGGGACTAAGGAGGAAAACGTCTTCTGGATCTGGTACCTCCCAGTGTAGCTTCCCAGACCTGGGGAAGCCTCAGAGCACGTCTCTGTGACCCAGAGGACGGGTCAGTGCAACACACAGCTGGGAATGAAATGCCCATCACAGAACAGCCTGGGATGACCTTAAACATCACCTGTGGACTGCTGGACCCTGGACCCGTTATGAACCCGTTTTGTGGTCTAGTGCTTTAGGGAATAGAAGCATGCGGTTTTTTATCTCCTGTTTAAGGACAGGAAAAACAAGTCTCAGAGACAACAGGGTCTTGTTGCTAGTAATGGCCAAGAATGTTTTAAACCTCCCTCTGCAGGCTCTGACATCTTTCAAGCCAAACAAAAAGGACAACTCTTTAAAATCAAGAGAGGAGGGATTTTTATAGTTATGGCCTATCGACATTATTAAACACCAGTTATCCAATTCACCCAGCAGCTGGTTCATTACTCAAAATGGCACACCCCAGACTTCCAGAGAACAGGAACACCCTGTAATCCCAAATCACACTCTTAAGAACCCTGAGGCATCTCCTGGAGCCCCATGTACACACCAGAAACAGAGATTACATTCCAGAACCCCAAGACACACCTCAGCAACTCAGAGTATACTTGAGAATTATAGGATACACCCTAGAGTTCAGGGTTCACCCTGGAACCCCAGGGCACACCCTGAAATTCCAGGGTATATTCCATGAAAGACTGATTATTAAACATGTTGACAGGAGAATCTGGGGAAAATGTTAAGTTTAGACCAAAAACATTCTTTTGATTGAACAAGCTATGATATTTTTCCTTTAAGCCCATGCAAAATATGGAGTGCCAGACAGGCAGCTGGGACCCATGAACACATGATTATGTACTTACGGTTCCCAACTTTCATCATCTATAGCCCTTTTTATTATTTTTCCCCCTTGGGGAGTCACATTTTTTGAAAGATTCTGTCTACTAAACAAACTACATTTATTAAAGAATAATATACTTCCTACTTTAATATGGGACACACATGAGTATGCATAAACACATAAAATAACAACAATCCAATTTCCATTAGGCTTTTGGAAATATTGAAACTAGCTTGTGAATCTCATTCCTACCCCTGAATTCCTAGGAGCCAAGGTCCTCTGGGTTGAGCACTATTATGTATGTGTTCATATGACTAGAAGGTATTTGCTTGAGGAGGGGCAGAAAAATTAAAGTGACACCAGGAATAAGCTAAATTCCTAGCTTCATGTTAGAGCCAGCAGACTAATTTAAAAAAAAAAACTGATCATCAAACTTAATCTTAAAGACATTGAAGTCCTGCGGGGAATCACCTGGGCAATGATAGAACCTATGATAAAATTCTAGGGGACAGAGAGGTGGCTCAGCGGGTACTGGTGCTGTCACCAAGCCTGATAACCTGAGTTCCATCCTAGAATCCACAAATCCTGCAAGTTGTTCTCTGACCTCCACATGTGTGCAAGACAAGCACACACATAAATAAGTGTGGAAAGCATAGAAAATTCCAAATGCAAAGAAAAGCCATTGAGAACAAGCCGTGGAGGCCAAGGGCAAATCTGTAAGAGTGAGCAGAGGCAGCTACCAAAGGGTAGATAAAAGAAAATGAGGAAATTAAGGAAAAGGAGACCATAGTGGGATTTGGAATTAATTATTAATTAATTCCCAATGAGTGTGGAGACTAATTGAGCAGGCTCTGGTGCCAGCTCGCCTGTGCATGAGTTACAAGTAGCCCCTGCCAAGTGGACATAATTGTACAGCGCAGATGCTTTATGGACCAGCAGGGGAAACACAGCCCCTGCGCTCACTCGTGAGCAGATACGGTTCAGCCATGTCAACATGTACAGTTTACCAGGCTGGTTCTGATGACGACCCTGGCTAGTTGTCCTGGCTCTAGTGAAAAGACTAGGTAGGAAGTCCTCCACCAAGATTTAAAAAAAAATAGATATATAAAAATCCCATATGAAAAAATATATTTTAAAAACTTTTCATAAAGAAGAAACTGGTGAAATAGAAAGTAAAGACCAAGGCTATAAAAAAATTCAAATAACCATTCGATCATGAATGTCATCTTTAAATACCTACTACGTAGCAGGTACTTGGGCATCATGTAAGGCGACATCAAGGCTGCCTTAGAGAACAAAGAAATCCAAACGGCATTTAAGAGCGTGCAGGAAATGGAGGCATTTGGGCTAAGTGAAAATGTCATGTGGAACATTTTATGTTAACAAGCTGCTGCTGGAAGCTAATGGAAGTCTCTGGGCTCAAGAGGAAGCCTCGAATCCTGGAGAGGGTGTGAGCTGGGGCCATAGCAAGGCTGATCTTTGAAAGAACTGCAGTGAAATCAATTTTTGGAGCAAGTTTTGGTCAACAGTATGAAGCAGGAGACGGCAGGAGGCAGCCAGAGGGTAGATCAGGCACCTTGTTAAACAGCCAGGAGGAAGACGAGGGAAGGGTGCTGGGTGGGAGTTGAATGCTCTCTGGAAAAATAAAAGTGCTGAGGTCTAAGGGAAGGGGGTGAGGGAAAGCAAAACAAGATGGAGAAAGAATGAACATTGAGTTTATTACTTTGATAGGAGACAAATATGTAATGGATTGGTTATTTGCAGAAATATTTGGGGGATGAGGATAATAGGAAAATTTAACTATGTGGTGTGGAAGCCTCTTTTGGTATATTTTATATGGACTCAGTGTGGTCCGTGTTCCCAGATACATCTTAGAGCCTAGAAAGTAGGTATATCCTCAGGATGCTATGCGGTCATCTACTCCAATATGGCTCCCCAAAGTCTCTTTGACATTGGACTCTAAGCACCTCCATGCTCCTCCGGAGTCTTGGGTGATGCAGTGATATCTAGGATGGCAATTTGAGCTGTGAACCTTTAGGTTCTCTGAAGATTCTTGACTGCTACACCCTCATTGTGCTGTTCCAGCTCACCAGAGTTCCTGTGGAGTCCTGCGGGCAGTATCGGAGCTGTGGCGAGTGTCTTGGATCGGGTGACCCCCACTGTGGCTGGTGTGTGCTCCACAACACGTGAGTACCATTGGCTGCTCCCTCCCGCCTCCTCCCAGTGGCTCTCGCCCTCCTCTCTGTCCTTCCTCTCACCCCTTTGCCCTCTTCTCTTTGCGTTCTTCCATCCTTGCACCTTTGGCAAGCTTCACCGCTCTTCCATGCTTTCTGGGTTCACTTTAACTTGTCTGGTTCCCCTGAGACATGGACGGAATGACGACAGGTCAGAATATGGCAGTCACCCTGGCAATGACACCCTGGAGAGTCACAGAAGACAGATTCTTGGACTCGTCTAACTTCAATTTGCTGACTTTTCAGCAGAGCCCCCCCTCACCCACACACACCCCTGCCCCCAATGACATGGAGTTTTGTTTTGTTTTGTTTTTTTCTCAAAATTCACCCGGACGACTAAATTATCTACTAGGTATGTGGTATCCATCTTGTAACTCAGCATCCATTCATTATGCCCTGTGCTGTAACCATAGAACCTCCTGTGACTTCTATGTGGGACATGCCTGAGGACCCTTTTTTGTCTTGCCATAACACCTATAAACCGGCTACAAATAAACTTGGGCTTCGAGTCAGGAGGGAAGAAAGGCCAGGCCAACTGCTAGCGCAAGCCCTTGTGCTTCCTCCCCTATTCCGTTTATTCTCTAGCGGAAGGGAGAAGGCGATCAGATTATAGTGGAGACAAATAGGAACTTGATGGATGAACTGAGAGATGCAGACAACTAGCCAGGAAATAGGAGAGAACCAAAGATCATTTTTAAACTCTAATTAATTTTTATCTTACATGTATCAATAAGTATGTCTGTGTACCGTGTGTGGGTTTGGTGCACACAGAAACCAGAGAAGGGTTCAGATCCCTCAGCACTAGAGTTACAGATGGTTGTTAGCTGCCATGTGAGCGCTGGAAATTAAGCCTGGGTGCTCTAGGGGAGTAGTTACCCACTGCACTGTCTCTCCAGTGCCAAGATCTTTATTCTCCCTTCCTGGAATAGCCTTCATCGTTAGGCCCCATCCTGTGGAATCTGAGCCTACTAGAGCTATGACTGATTCCTGTGGCCACCTGAAACCTGATATTCTCTAAACTAGCCACAGCATCATAAGATAAGATTTTAGTTTTCCCATTCACAGCCTGAATTACTTGGTACCAATGACATTTGTTGCAATTTTCAGTGATTTTGAACTATAAGAAACTGGAGGTGGAATCTTCTCTCTCTCCTCTTCCAAAGGCAGGAAACACTCTCTCAGATTCTGACAGTTAAAAACACCCTCCTAATTTCTCACACAGTCTCTCCAATAGAACAGCCAACTTCCCCCTTTCTGGGTGTCGGACATAATGAGGTCTTGAGTCCCTTAAGGGAAGGCCTGAAATCTGTTAGGCGTATTATACCAAAAAAGAAATTGAGAACCACTGAGCTGCGCTGAAACACAACGACTCGAAGGCAGATTGGAAGCTGCACTGAAACGGACAGCGAGGTCATCTCGTAATAGTGCAGCACCCCAGGATTGGCCCCCACGGAGAAGGGTGGAGAGGGGCAGTTAGAATGCGTACCAGCATGTGCCAAGCCAGAAGAGGCTCCTGATGCTACCTTGAAAGGAGATGAGGTTTTTTTGTCCAGCATAGTAAGATCTCCCAGAAAAGGAATGGATGCATTCTCAACCTAATGCCTTCCTTGGGAACTCTGGAGCCACCTAACTGGCTGCTGAGCATCCCTTAGTTCTCATAGCATGGTACAAGTGTAACTTCAGGGCAATCATAAAAGCTGGCCCCTCCCTAAATCCTTCAGGACCAAAGCACAGGTTTCTGTGCCCCTTATGGTCTGTGTCATGATGCTATCCCCATCCCATATGGCACTGATCTTGGTGAGCATTCAGGACACTGGGGCTTAAAAAAGGTTGCAGAAGGGCCAGAGTGCCCTGCCCCTGCACCTCAGCTCCACAGCTGGGTTGAGCACGTCTGAGGAGAGAAAATACCATGCATTACTTCTTATACGGCTCCAGTCTCTCCTTGTATAACAGCATACCTGACTCCTGTGGCAGACAGCAAGAGTAAACTAAAGCCAGAAGGAGAGTCAGGGTGATTCACCGAGCAGACCATCACATAGGAAAGCCAGTAGCTTCAGTCTCAGCATGCCATAAAGGAAAAAGTCATGGACATGTGTCTGACACAGAATCCAATCCAAATCTCCCCGGCATCCTAGGCCCTCCTCCGTGACCTGGAAAGAGGAGTGCCTACTTTGCTGGGTTGTAGGAGAACTGACAAGGCTAACCATTTGAGTCAGAACACTGGCAGATCAGGTAGGGTAGTCACCAATCTCATGGGCTGCAGCAAAGACTGAGAGTTCATAAGGGTCCTTCCTCTCAGACTGTGGTTGACTCCAGTGGTTTTCTAGATGGCCCTTGAATCCCTGAGGGTGTCACAGTTTCAGGACGCCTTTGCTTAACCAGCAGATGTTCCTGCTGCTTTCCCGCCCCTCCTTCTGCCTGGTATCACATCTCACGCCAGTTTGCACGTCAGATGTCAGCCCTTCCTAAACATGGCTCTCAGAGAACGGGGGCCATACAAGGGCTGTCCTGTCTGTTGCCCAACACTAAGCTGCCGCTTCTGGGGCCTCTCTTCACCCTAGGAGCTACAGTGGGAGCCACTATGTAAATACGACAGGGAAGCTTGCAATGGTTACTGAAATTAGTGCAGTCTAGTCTAGCTCTCCTGTCTTGTACATTTGCGAGGCTGTTGAGTATAGCGATTCACGCTATGTGCAGGAGTGGTAAAGACCTCTGTAAAGACCTGTGAACACTGAATTAGAAAACACCAAACCACTGCCCCTAAAAGACACAGAGTGTCAGATTCCTGAGAATCTCTGGTCTCAACCTTTTCATCAGTGGGTTGATGTATCACCTCATTTGTTGGACATTTGTATGAAGATGTCTTCCTTAATAAACATTGCCAATTCATTAACATTCAACTCATGACTCAGAGAACTGTAACTTCATACCTGGATGAAGATTCTCATGATCCTCCTGCCTCCACCTCTTCTGCTTATCTTACCAGCATGTACCTCTCCAGCTAGCTGAACGAAGCTTCCTCTCTCTCTCTCTCTCTCTCTCTCTCTCTCTCTCTCTCTCTCTCATGCACACACACACACACACACACACACACACACACTTCTCTATGTCGCACCATGGCCATGATGTGTTTAGGAATACTGGGCAGCACAGCCTTATAAGATTTAAGTCAAAACAGGACAGAACTTGAAAAGCATGGCATTAAATAGCCATCAAATGAACCTCATTTATAATGCGACTACTTAAACAAGAAGGAAGAATGTCACCTCTTCTTACCCAAGCTGTAAACATGTGACTTGAGTCATCCCCACTCCGCATATGACCATGAGTTAACTCAAACGTGCCATGAAGACAAGCTTGGAGGCCACTAATAAATGTTAGCAATTAGCTGCATTTGAAATACGGAGTCCACAGATATTGAGGGTTGACCATAACACTGGATGGGAGAGACTTGGTATCTACACCTGTAAGAAGAGAGAACCGTGGCTTCTCATGCTGCTAACTAGAGGATGAGATGGGGTAATGAAGGCTGCTCTGTGAGTCCAAGGAGCTCTGCACCGTCAGGGTGCTGCTCTCCATAACGTTGGGCTCTCAGCAAAGTGAATGCATGATGAGGGCAGACGGACACTGACATTGGAGCTGTTTCCACCGTGTCTGATAACTTCTATAGCAAGACACAGCTCATGAGTTCCCATAGGCCCAGACTATCTAATCACAGAAACACTTGTCAGGTCCTTCCCCTGAGTTCAAGACCAAGAATAGCTCCTGCACATGGTGGCCAAGCACGGGAAGGCCCCTGGGTCTCTAAGATTCAGTTTTAAACTTAACTAAACATAACTAAAATGCACAGATCTGAGGTGGTCCATCGGGAAAGCTTTAACACATGCAAACCTGCTTCCTCCTAGAAGGTTCTCTCATCCTAGTCAGTGCAACCTATGGGTCTTGGCTCAGGTCAGATACACAAGTTGGCTTCTACCGTCCTGTCCTTCTTTTCAGTGGGCACAATGTGGCCATACATGATTGGAAGAGGCAACAGAAGGGATGTGGACAAAACAGAAGAAAGAAGAGGTCTGGAGAGGTCTGGTGTGGACAGTGAGCAGTCAGTGTGGGAACCAGTTTATAGATGCTGGTCCTGAGAGGTTCTGCTAGGAAAGGAACAAAGAACCAGAATGTTCTCTAAAGCACTGTGTTCTCTCTCTCTCTCCCTCCCTCCTTCCTTCCCTCCCTCTCTCTGTCCTGAAGCTTCTTGGGGAACAGGCCTTTGCTGCAATGATGGGGTCCTAGAATCAGCACATTTGTCAGGCTTCCATGTTGGGCAAGACTCTGTGCTAAGTGACCCTGGCCCTTGCCAAGTACCTCAGCAAGCTTGGTCTTCATTCAGTCCATGACAAAGAACAACACAGGACCCTCTGAGTGTGAGAATGATTCTGTTTTCTGTAGTCATTTCTGACAACTTTTCCTATGGTCATAGGGAATAAGGTGGTGTTGTGGTGTGTGTGTATGTGTGGTGTGTGTATGTGTGTATGCATGTGGTGTATGTGTATGTGTGTATATGGTGTATGTGTAGGTGTGTGGGATGCGTGTGGTGTGTGTACGTGTGTGCGTGTGGTGTGTGTATGTATGTGTGCATGTATGTGTGTTAGACAGATACTGACAAAAAGAACAAAAGAGAGTGGGAGAGAGCCATAGAAAGAACCAGAGGAACAAGCAGCCCAAGGACGGAGCCTCTGCAAACAGGTGTCCGTATCACTGAAAGAGCTTTTGCATCAGGAGGGTCATAGGAGGGCTGTGAGCTGAATATGCCGAAGAGACGACCCAGTCATTCAAATCCTTTCTGCTCTTCCCCGCTCTGCACTAGTGAACGTGACAAAGGGCCTACCTGCCAGCCTAGGGGGAAGAGAAGCACCGCCCCTCCACTCTCGTTGCCCTCTTCTGTAGCCCCTGGCCCTGCC